GTCACGTGCCCGCTAAAGAAAAAACACAAAGGAGGACCAAGGAAGAAAAGTTATTGAGTCAAAAGACCATCTGCACAGAGATTAACATCTAGATAGAGAGTGGTTCTCTTTTGTTCCTGCTGCACACTTATAAATGTAATGATTTATGGAAGAAGAAATATTTCCACAGCATCAAGGTAAATGAGGACTCTCTAGCAGCAAATATACTCACTTTTATATCCTGTTTTGATAAAGGTAACGAAAAAAAAATCTTTGCCAGGAAAAGGTCTCTTCAAAACTCAACAGAAATAGGTGACAGTTGCCAGTAACTGTTCTCCCCAGCAAGCCAACATTAATCATGTTGCATTGCACCAGTCAGTAACAAAGCCCACCAGCCCTGGTTCTCAGCTCATTTCTCACTAAATCCAAAACAGGATGCTGCAAGTATCAAAATTAAATGCATGAAATAGAAGTTTAAACCTAACCGGTGTTTTCTGTGAACAACCAAAACCTCGAACATCAACATGGAAAGAACCACAGCCGAGGAGACCAAGCCTGCCCAACGCAGGGCACCAGAATAACAGCACTAACAGCCATCCCAGCACTTCTGCTCCTGCAAACCTGTGCAGAACTGAACCTGTGCACCTCTCTGCAGCAGGCAAAGTGAGCACCGCGTGCTTTCAACCAACCATGGTCAGCTGCTGCCCTGGCCTGGAAGTGCAGTTCGGGGGCACCAAACCACAGGATGCATCACAGCCTGTGAGACCCACAGGCAGAACTTCTCAGCTCCACATTTCAAAGTTCACTTAACTGACATTTAGGCACACGAGTAACTGTATTGACGAGGCTCGCTCATTATGAACACAGGTGAAATTACTCACCAGTATGCTTACAGAGTCACATCAACACGCCTTTAAAGATAATTTTTCAGAAGCCCTCAGGAACAGCACCAGATCACAGGAGCATGGTGTTCAGAGCCTTCACTTTGTAGATAGCTTCTCTTTCAAATCTTAATAGTAGATTCCTGTGAAATCTTTGACTCTAATTCTCCAACTCTCAGCTTCAGTCAAAGACTGAAGTCTTCTGTTCCCCCAGTTGTTTTCACTTAGTATTGCTGAGGTGGTTTTTTTTGTTGTTGTTGGTTTTTTTGCAATAAACCAGATCAGTTTGGGTTTTTGTTTGTTTCTTTCTCCCCCCTCCTTTCTTCCCTTCTCCAACCCCCCCAAACCCATTCCAGCGCTGCAAACAAAATAACTTGAAATGGAAAACGTGTGACCTCCCAAGCCTTTATTTACAGTATCACAAACCACAAGGGAAGGATCTGGCCAAGCTTTCCAGCTGCAATGGGAAGGGCAGGGAGAAACGTGCGCTCGTTTTTGCAGCTGTGATATTTAACACATCACAGGAAAGCAGGATGGGGAGAGGAAGGCGAATCAGAAGCTTGCAGTGGTGGGTGAACAAGTCTCAGACACACAGGTAGGTTCATGCAATTACATCCCATCTCCCCTGAAATAAACAGAGCTCTACACATGCAAATGTAATTACAAAAATCAATCTGCCACGTGTTTGATGGTTTTGCTTCTCGACTTCCACATTACACAAGATCATAAGATTGAGAAGCCTTCTGGACTTCACCAGTCCTGAATTTTTATTAGATCCACAATGATCTTTCTTCACGCCACCATCCCCAAACTGCTACAACAAAGACTGTCAAAAATAAGCAGCCTAGAAGCAGTAGAATCTTCCCTCAGCTGTTTAAACAGCAGCACAGACACAACGAATGAGGTTGAGATCTATAGAAAGTTACTTGCAGCAGGAAACCGTCAGTTTGTGGTTAGCGTCACAGCTTTTTCCTCCCAGTTAAATACGTATGTCCAAACAGTTCCTCCACTACTCATCTAGTGCTTCTATTATAAAAAGGAAGAAAATGACCAAGAGAAAAAAACCCATCCACCCACACACTAGCAATTTCCTAACATCAAACTGCCTGGCCCCATAACAAGTGCCACTCTTAGCCACGCCGTTACACACAGGTGTGGGAACATCACAGCTGTGCTGTCAGGCTGCCTAGCAGGGCTGCCCTTCTTGTCGGAGCAACAGCAGCCATCACCCACCTCTCTGAAGTGTTATCACCTCGATCTAGCTCACTGCACTGTGCTTTGCAGCATACTCTGTGAAGGACCCAACATGACAATAGATGGTGCTGAATTCAGGCAGTTTCATTAAACTCACCTCTTACAGTAGGTACTATTCTCACATCACAGGTTGTGGAGCAAGTCCATTGGTAAAAACAGAGCACAAAAAAAAAGTACAATTCAGCCCTAGTCTGTGTCCACATAGAAGGACACGAGGCTCTAGAAAGGGAAAGTTCATCATGTTACACAACCTGGGCAGAAATGTACCTAAGAGAGCACAGTGCTACGCAGGCTCGTGGGCAGGTGCTGCCAGCAAGGCACAAAGGAGCCAAAAGCAAAGCTGACCTGGGCTTCCACTTGACAGTACATTCACAGTTCAGAGGGGCCACCACTTCCCCAGCACACTATGGAGACATTAGCCTCCTGCCAACGTCAGCCTCTGCTTCTTCTTAAAGCAAGGCAATCATTCACTGCACCCCAGCTCCTGCAGCTGTGGGGCAGAAGTCAGAGGCAGTGCAGTGTCCCTGGACAGCCAGAAGCAAGGGATGGACAGGGCAGCAGGCACCTCTTTATCTGCATCACCATCATCCACCTCCCCTGTCACGCTGCTCCCACAAGCTGAGACTTCTTGCTGTGATCCCACAGCTGTGCTCGAGCATCACAGGCACTTATATATGCACCCCTCAGTGTCTGCTCTGTGTTTCTGCTTGTGCCAGGGATTCAGCACACTTTCCTAGATTTCAAAATAATCCCATGCAGAATACTCCAGGTACAACTTCCAGAGGACCCTCCTCTCCTCATTATTCCTCTGTTCAGAGGTCCTGCTGCACAAGGATGCTGATAGGACATAGGAGGAAATTACTCAGTGCCTACAGCACTTCCCTGTGCTCTGGACATTGTTATTCAGCTCTTTGTTTTCATGAACACTGCATTCCCTGACAAGGTTTAAAAGCCATTTTTCTCCCTATGTTCCTTACCTGCCAATCCAGGGACATTACTTGCTCTCCAGTGACGCAAGCTGCACAGATTCATTTTGCTGCAAACACAATACCAAGGCAGTTTCCCCTCACCTGCCCAGGCTCTTAATGACCACTCAGGCACCTCTTACAGAGAGGAATGTCAGCCCTGAGGAGTGCCAAGTCCTTCAGGCAAGCAAAAAGAGCAGTCCCACAGCCTCAAAACAAAGCAAACCCTAAACATGGCTAAGGACAGTGCTTCTTTGCTGCTACCACCAATTCAGACAAACACTCTCTCCTTTACAACAGCCTACAGGGGAGCAAGAGGACCTGGAGTGATCTATGGCAAGGGAGATACAGCTTTTGAGACATGATGTCTTCCCTCAGCCCGGGAGCACAGATTCTTACAGCAGCATCAACTCCTCCAGTAAAGTTGTTGACAGCAGTGACTGCTCCCACAGAGAGCTGTGTACAGCTTAGTCAGAGCTACAGCATGCAGGAGAGAAGCTGCTGGACTCTCAAGAGAAATTTGGGTATCCCACTGAGGGATGGGCTGCAGTGTGGCAAGCAGTCTGCCTGAGCTGGCCCTGGATTCTGCTGATGCTGAAGAAAGGCTTCAGGAAAGGAATCGGCACAGGGAACGGCAATTAATTCATTGGGAGTCAATTTGCTGACAAGAGATAATTAAGGTAGTCAAATAACCCTTAGTTTTCAAGGGCTTCTGGCTTTGCACATCGATACAAAGCTGGTGTCACTGTGGTTTCTGTGTAACTGCTGCGACTTGAGTACCAGTCCAGAGGAACTGAAAATATATTATAGCCTGACACGCAAACAGCTCAGACCCAAACTCATTTATTTACCCTTTCTCCAGTTTTTGCAGCAGCCCTTTGCTCTTAAACTAAAAGCCAACAATTCTGAGCTTCAGCATCAAGAAGCAAAAAAACCAAAATTGCTGTATCACCATGTCAACGCAAAGCAAAATGTTTGGATCTAAGAGTTAAAAACACCCCTTTTGACAGGGGAAAAAAAATATGAAGTGGTAAGAAATGCACTGGAGGAAAACAAGAAGATGCGAAACTACCCATTCAGGTAAAGGCTGACATTCCATCTACTGAAAAATTCCCATTTAGCCAGCAATTCTGTGTACAGACTACGAGACGTATTTCTAGAACTCACATAAAAGAAGCTCAGTAGAGCTGGAAAGGCACCCAGCAAACCCACAAGCTACACTCTGCAAGTTGGAGCACAAGGGTGCACAAAAATCCCAAAAAGCACCAAATCTCTTAAGAATTGCTTGTTAAAGAACCCACAGGGTACTCTGCTCCCATCTACACTTTTTGCTGTGGAAGCTTTGCACCTCAATCCTCTTGAAAACGTCAAGTAAGTTAGGACTTCAGAGAGGAAAATAGGAGTTAGAAGCTAACACAATGTCATGGCAGCACCAGGAGGTGCATGCTTGTTTATTTC